CCTCCGAAACCAGCATCCACGCGCGAAGGCCAGCGATCCGGTGCCACCCAAATCCAGGAAGCGCTCCGCCCAACACCTCGAATCGATTTAGCCGAATCCTGTTACACAGGAATTTCGCTCGAGAGCGGAAGCACGTTTCAGGGCTCTGCGGGATCTGTTCGACGCTTCGTTGCCGACTTTTTTCCTGGGGATCGCTGGCTCTCGTTTTGGCTTCGGCCTCTTTTCGGGTTCGGCCTCTGAAGTAGATAATGATGATGATGATGATGATGATGATGATGATGATGATGATGATGATGATGATGATGATGATGATGATGAGGATGAGGATGAGGATGAGGATGATGAGGATGATGCTGATGCTGATGCTCATGCTGATGATGATGCTGATGATGATGATGATGATGCCGATGATGGCGATGATGATCACGATGAGGACGACGATGATAATGATGACGATTATGATGACGATGACGATGACGATGACGAAGATGATTATGATGATAATAATGATGATAATGATGATGATGATGATGATGATGATGATGATGATGATGATGATGAGGATGAGGATGAGGATGAGGATGATGAGGATGATGCTGATGCTGATGCTCATGCTGATGATGATGCTGATGATGATGATGCCGATGATGGCGATGATGATCACGATGAGGACGACGATGATAATGATGACGATTATGATGACGATGACGATGACGATGACGAAGATGATGATGATGATGATGATGATGATGATGATGATGATGATGATGATGATGATGATGATGATGATGATGATGATGATGATGATGCTGATGATGATGATGATGATGATGATGATGATGATGGTGAGGATGATGCTGATGATGATGACAACGATGCTGCTGCTGATGATGAGGATGACGATGATGATGCTGATGCTGATGCTGCTGCTGCTGCTGCTGCTGCTGCTGCTGATGATGATGATGATGATGATGATGATGATGGTGATGCTGATTAGTATGATGATTCGCATCATGATTCGTAGATGATGATGCTGATGATGCTGATGCTGATGCCGACTCTGATGCTGCTGCCGATGATAATTATGACGGTGATGAGGCTGCTGCTGCTGCTGATGAGGCTGATGATGGTATCCATAATGCTGCTGCTGCTGCTGCTGCTGATGATGATGATGATGATGATGATGATGATGATGATGATGATGATGATGATGCTGTATATCCATGTCGGCGAGCCATTCAACGTTCGGGTAACTCTGTTCCAGGGCCGGACGGGATTCCGGCGGCGGCTTACCGCGCCCTTCGGGGGCTGGCGGAGGGAGTACTTCACACCGAGCACTTCTCTGCTTGATGTCCCCAGTGGGCAACGAGCTACGGGCGCGCCACGACCCTGAGTTCAACGCTGCCCTCATGTTCTTCATCCCGAAGAAGGAGGCTGGTACAGACGCGGTTCATGGCACCTTTTACGACCCGCAGAGCGTGCGGCCGCTCAGCGTGACCAACTTCGACGGGAGGATCCTGTCGCAGGCCGTTCGGTTGCGTGTGGAGCCCCTCATAAAGAATAGGGTCTCACGTTCCCAGGGGGGATTCATTGGTGGACGGTCGTTATTGGCAAACGTGCTCGACATCGAGCAGCGGATGATGGAGGTCGCGCTCAGGAGCGAGAAGGGCGCCTCCTTCTTCTTCGACTTCAAGGCCGCGTTCCCCTCGGTCGACCAGGCGTTCATCCTCGAACTGCTGAGCCATTTGGGGCTCCCCGACTCGTTGGTTCGTTTCGTTGCCAACGTTTACGGGGACAATTTGGTGCACATGGTAGTGGGTGGCAGGCGCTTCCGAGGTTTCTCGGTGACCGCTGGGGTAAGGCACGGCGACCCGCTGTCGCCGCTGATCTTTGCTATCGCGGCGGACCTGCTGCTTCGTCGCCTGACCCGCGTCTTCCCGGGGGCGCTGGTTCGCGCGTATGCGGATGACTTGGCTTTGGTTTCTGACCAGCCGCTGTCCGACGCCGCCCTGCTCGAGAATAGCTTCGACGAGTACGCCCGGCTCTCGGGTCTGCACTTGCACCTCGGGAAGTCGGTCATCCTTCCTCTCTTCCCAGGTGACGTCGAGGACTTCCGTGAGCAATTATCTCGGGTATCTGTGGGGTGGGCTGCCATGAATATCAAGACGGACACGGAATACCTCGGCTTCGTCCTAGGGCCAACTAGTGGACGGAAGTCGTGGGCCCGCCCCATGGCGAAAATGGTCGACAGAGCTTCTTCGTGGGGGAAGGTCGGGGGAGGCATGCAGGTCTCCCTCCTCGCGGCGCGGGTCTTCATCACCTCCACGGTGTGTTTCGTGGCGCAGCTCCTGCCGCCGCTGGAGGACTGGGAGGTCACCGACAGGAAGGTCATGGTCAGGCTGCTCCCCGGCCCGAGATCCATCTTGTTTTGGATTGGCTGGCGGATTGGATGACCTGGCCCAGCTCTCCCTGGCGGCGCGGGCCCGGACTTGCCGATACGAAGGTATCAAAGAAGGCGGCCTGAGGATTGACGAGCGTCGTCGCGGACTCCTTCAAGCGATCGCCGATTCCGACATGCTGGTCCGGGTCGGGCGGTGGAGGGGGTGGTTCGACAACGCATTCTGCCTGCACGTTTGGGCGGAGCATGCCCATTTCGAGTGCCCCGGCTTCCCGGCGCGCGCCGTGCAGGACCAGATTTTGGAGCACACGGACACGACGGAGATGACGGCGCAGGAGGTCCAGGACCGGTGCAGGCGCAGGTGGCAGCGTGAACTCCGCAATATTCTCTGTGAGCCAGTGGCAGGTAGAAAATCCACTTCGTTTTATGCGTCGACGCTTAGACCGATGGCGTATCGGGGCTCTCCCGGGACATCGGCCCCAGCGAGCCTTGCGAGTATTTCAAGTGCTAACCTGTAGGGTGCTCCCTCGGGTTTTGGCGGCTCTTTTGAGAACACTTTCCAATGGTTGGTGCACGGGGCGACGGTTCCAGCGCCCTTCCCATTGTATGTTGCGATGTGGTGGAGAGGACTCCACTGAGCATCATGCTCGGCGTGGATGCGTCCGCCAGTTTGCTTCCAGTATGCTGGCCCTCCCGGCCGCCGCCGATCCGGTAGAGGAGTTTTTGCTTTCGAGCGGGTCCAGTGGGGTCGCCGACGATGTGCTTGTGCGCCGAGTGGTGCGGACAGCGGCGGTGCACGAGCTACACTGCGCGGCTCGGCACATCTCGTGCGAGGTTCCCCCGACGGCGGCCACGCTGGCGCAGTTGACCCGAGAACTCGTCCGCGGCCGTGCGCGGGCCGCTCGGGCGGTGGCTGCCGCCCGCGTGCGCTGATGCATGCGTCCGTTTTCCCTCTCCCTCGCTTCTCCTCTCCTCTTGCTGTGTGCTGTAATGCGGTTGGGGTATCTTTTGATATTGTATTCAATTTGATTTCCGCGTCAGGCGCGGCTTCCGGTCACATTGGTGGCCTTCGCTGGTGCAGTGCCGCACTTTTAAGTTCCTGTGGTATTTCTTGCCGTGGTGAATGTATTGTTTGGCCGTCGAGGCTGTTCAATACAAGTCTGTCGCGTGCCGCTTTGGCAGACCAGTGGATGATCCGTTATAGGGCCAATTCGCATCTTGCGCAACAAAGAAAGTCATGTCGGCGATGTAGTTAACGCTGATGACGACGATGATGAGGATGATTATGATGATGGTGATGATTCTGGTGATGATGATGGTGATGCTGATGCTGATGCTGATGCTGGTGCTGATGATGCTGCTGCTGACGATGAGGATGCGGACGAGAATGATGTCGTTGATGATGGTGATGGTGATGGGGTCAATTTGCTGGTCATGCTGGTACTGTCGCTGCTGCCAGCTTGCACTGTTTGACCGTGATAAATCGACGCGGTGACATTGGCGTGGCAGTCGCTTTCGCTTGTCATTCGAAGAGCCTCATAAACATTTTCATGCATTGCTCCTTGACAGCCGCGGCGACGCGCCCGCCCAGCGCGAGGTCGGGCATCTTCTTTTCATTTTCAAATTCCTCAATTGTTTTCATTTTTATTTTGGTGTTGGCATGCCGCTCCAACTTGCATAGCTTGTAAGCGTAATTGCAGACTCCATCGTCCTTGTCCGCATCGTGCCATTCCGGGGCGCTTCCTGTCGTGGCGCAGTTGTGCATCTTGCTTCGTTTGCTCCCCACGCGTTCGGCCAGCAGGCGGGCGGAAGGGAAGACACATGTCGCCTTTGGCCTCGCCTGTCCGCTGTGTCGTGGACCAGAGGTTTGTGGTGACCCAACATGACCATGCTGACAATGTCCCGCCAAAATCAGGTTGGAGAGGTCGAAGGCTACCCGTGGCCCAGAATCGCCAGACATCGAACCATGTGCGCTATCGGACAGCCGGGGGCGTCCCAGGTTGAACGATAATGGGTGTCAGAGACAAACGCAGCAGTCTCTCCCCCTCCCCCTCCCGCCCGCCTTCTGCTCTGCGTCGATGCCCTCCGGGGGCCACCTCATATTCGCTGCCCGATTCGACGATCAGGAATGGACTGCGCTCAGGGGGGGTTGGATTGCAGATTTCGGCGCGAGAGCGCCTGGCGCTTGCCTCCCTCCCCACCCCATCCACGCTGTCAGCCGTTCGAGGTTCACGCTGTCAGCCGTTCGAGGTTCAAAACTCACATTGTCGAGGCTCGTGGCAGATGGGTGCTTCCGACCGCAGGGGTGCCGAGCCCGAGCCACCTGGGGCCTCGCACTGCTCGCCCATCGGGGCGACCGCCTTCTCAATCAAACATAGCAAGGTCAGCGTGAACTGACGCTGCCGCCTCCACGCCATTGTCGAGGCCACCGCCTCCGCGCCGTGCTCCAGTGGGAACGGGCGGGCTCCCCTGCGGAGCGCGCGACTCAGGCGTTCGCTTCGCTTCCTCCTCCTCCTCCTCCCTCCTCGTCCTCCTCCTTGTCCTTCCATGCTCTGAGCCTCCGCGTCTTCCTCTGCCGCGCCCCCCCTTCGGCGCGCGGGAGGACAAGGCAGCGGGGACGTCTGCTTCCAGAGAGGACCGCACGGCCCGCGCTCGCTCGGGCGACGAGCGGGCCGTAGCCCGCCCGTCCCCCGAGCGGATCTTCGGGTCAGGTCAGGTCAGGCGAGCAGGGAGATGATGATGGTGATGAAGCTGCTGATGATGATGATGATGATGCTGACGATGATGCTGATGATGATGATGCTGAGGATGAGGATGCTGATGATGATGCTGCTGCTGATGATGCTGATGATGATGAGGATGCTGCTGCTGATGATGATGATCCTGATGATGATGCTGCTGATGATGACGATGATGCTGATGATGAGGAGGATGCTGATGATGCTGATGATGCTGATGATGATGCTGACGATGATGATGATGATGCTGATGATGAGGATGCTGATGATGATGCTGATGCTGATGATGATGTTGATGCTGATGATGATGAAGATGCTGATGATGATGCTGATGATGAGGAGGCTGCTGATGAGGAGGATTATGATGAGGATGCTGATGCTGCTGACGACGATAAAGCTGATGCTGATGATGATGATGCTGATGATGATACGGATGATGATGATGCTTATAGTTCTGATGCTGATGCTCATGATGGTTCTGATGATGATGCTGACGATGATGATGAAGATGCTGATGATGATGCTGATGATGATGCTGATGATGCTGATGATGATGCTGATGATGCTGATGATGATGAGGATGATGCTGACGATGATGATGATGCTGATGATCAGGATGCTTCTAATTCTGATGATGATGATCATGATGGTGCTGATGATGATGCTGATGCTGATGATGAGGATTCTGATGATGATGCTGATGATGCTGTTGATGCTGATGATGATGATAAGGATGATGCTGAGGATGCTGATGATGATGATGATGATGATGATGATGATGCCGACGACGATGATGAGTCTGATGCTGATGATGATGCTGATGATGAGGGTACTGATGATGCTGCTGATGACGATGATGATGCTGATGATGTTGAAGATGCTGATGATGATCATGATGATGCTGCTGATGCTGCTGATGATGATGAATATGCAGATGATGATGCTGCTGATGATGATGCTCATGATGATGATGCTGATGCTGATGCTGATGATGATGAAGATGCTGATGATGAGAATGAGGATGCTGATGAGGATGATGATGAGGCCGATGATAATGATGATGATGATGATGATGATTCTGATGATGATGATGCTGATGATGATGATGATGATGCTGATGCTGATGCTGATGATGATGTGGATTCTGATGATGATGCTGATGATTGTGCTGATGATGATGATGATGATGATGCTCATGATGATGATGAGGGTGCTGATGATGATGATGATGATGCTGATGCTGCTGATGATGATGCTGCTGATGATGGGTGATGATGACGGTGCTGCGGATGATGATGCTGATGATGATGTTGAAGATGCTGATGCTGATGCTGATGAGGATGCTGATGATGATGATGCTGATTCTGATGATGATGCTGATGATGATGAGGATGCTGCTGATGCTGATGAGGCTGACGATGATGATGTGGATGCCGCTGATGATGATGATGACGATGATGATGATGATGATGATGGTGCTGATGCCTTTTCTGATGATGCTGATGCTGATGATGAGGATGTTGATGATGAAGCTGATGATGAGGATGCTGATGATGCTGATGATGCTAATGATAATGATGATGATGATACTGATGATGCCGATGCTGCTGATGATGAGGATGATGATGATGATGATGCTGATGATGATGATGATTATGACGCTGATGCTGATGATGATCATGATGATGATGCTGATGCTGATGATGAGGATGCTGATGATGATGCTGATGACGATGCTGATGATGATGCTGATGCTGATGCTGCTGATGATGAGGATGTTGCTGCTGATGATGATGATGCCAATGCGGATGCTTATGATGATGAACATGATGGTTAGATGATGAGGATGATGATGCTGATGATGATGATGTCGATGATGATACTGATGATGATTATGCTGCTGATGCTGATGATGAGGATGCTGATGCTGCCGATGATGAGGTTGCTGATGATGATGCTGATGATGATGATGATGCTGATGATGATGATGATGATGATGGTGATGATGATGATGATGAGGATGCTGATGATGATGCTGATAGTGCTTTTGCTGAAGCTGATGAGGAGGATGCTGATGATGATGGTGCTGACGATGATGATGATGCCGATGATACTGATGCTACTCATGATGACACTGATGTGGATGATGATGATGATGATGATGGTGCTGATGATGATGAGGATGATGCTGATGAGAATGATGATGATTACGATGAGGATGTTTATGGTTCTGATGATGCTGCTGATGCTGATGATGAGGTTGCTGATGATGAAGCTGATGATGAGGATGCTGATGATGCTGATGATGCTAATGATACTCATGATGCTGACGATGATGATGAGGATGATGCTGACGACGATGATGATGATGATGATGATGATGATGATGATGATGATGATGATGATGATGATGATGATGATGATGATGATTCTGACGCTGATGCTGATGATGATCATGATGATGCTGCTGATGATGCTGATGATGCTGCTGATGATGATGCTAATGCTGATGCTGACGAGGATGCTGATGATGCTGATGCTGATGATGATGATGATGCTGATGCTGATGAGGATGCTGATGATGATGATGATGCTGATAATGACGCTAATGATGCTGATGCTGATGATGAGGATGCTGATGATGAGGATGAGGATGCTGCTGATGATGATGGTGAGGAGGATGCTGATGATGATGCTGATGATGATGATGATGATGATGATGATGATGCTGACGCTGATGATGATACGGATGAGGATGAGGATTCTGATGCTGATGCTGCTGATGATGATGCTGATGCTGATGCTGATGATGATGAGGATGCTGCTGCTGCTGATGATGATGCTGATGATGATGCTGACGATGATGAGGATGATGCTGCTGATGATGATGATGATGATTGTGAGGATGCTGATGATGATGCTGATGATGATGCTGATGATAATGCTGATGATGATGCTGATGCTGATGGTGAGGATGCTGATGATGATGCTGATGATGCTGGTGATGCTGATGCTGATGATGATGCTGATGCTGATGCTGATGATGATGATGATGAGGATGCTACTGATGATGATGAGGATGATGATGGTGATGCTGATGAGGCTGATGATGATGAGGATGCTGATGATGATGCTGCTGCTGATGATGCTGCTGATGATGATGAGGAATAGGCTTCGATGCTGATGATGCATAAGAATGGTAATGCTTATGATTCTGATGATGATGATGATGATGATGATGATGATCATGATGATGATGATGATGATGCTGACGCTGATGATGAGGATGATGCTGATGAAGATGATGATGAGGATGCTGATGATGATGCTGATGATGATGATGCTGCTGATGACGATGATGATGATGAGGATGCTGCTCATGATGATGATGCTGATGCTGATGAGGATGCTGATGATGACGACGACGATGCTGATGATGACGATGATGCTGATGACGAGGATGTTGATGCTGATAATGATGATGCTGATGCTGATGATGATGAAGATGCAGATGATGATGAAGACGCTGATGATGAGGATGCTGCTGATGATGATGCTGATGAAGGATGAGGATGAGGATGAGGATGAAGGATGCTGATGATGAGGATGAGGCTGCTGCTGATGATGATGATGATGACGATGAGGATGAGACTGATGATGATGATGATGAGGATGCTGCTGATGATGAGAATGCTGATGACGATGCTGATGATGATGCTGATGATGCTACTGCTGATGATGATGTTCATGATGATGAGGATGCTGATGATGCTGATGATGATGCTGATGATGATGCTGCTGCCGATGATGGATGCTGACTATGATGCTGATGATGATGCTGCTGATGATGATGACGATGCTGATGATGATGCTGATGCTGATGCTGATGCTGATGATGATGATGATGATGATGAGGTTGATGCTGATGATGATGAGGCTGATGATGATGATGATGATGAGGATGCTGATGATGATGATGAGGATGATGAGGATGCTGCTGACGATGCTGATGATGAGGATGCTGATGCTGATGATGCTGATTATGATGCTGATGATGATGCTGCTGATGCTGATATCGCTGATGATGCTGCTGCTGATGATGATGAGTATGATGCTGCCGATGATGATGATGATGCTGATCATGATGCTGATGATGAGGATGCTGATTGTCATGATGCTGATGATGATGCTGATGCTGATGCTGATGATGATGATGATGATGAGGATGCTGATAATGATGATGAGGATGATGTTACTGAGGATGATGCTGATGATGCTGATGATGATGAGGATGCTGATGATGCTGATGCTGATGATGATGCTGATGATGCTTATGCTGATAATGAGGTTGCTGATGATGCTGATGCTGATGCTGATGCTGATGCTGACGATGCTGATGCTGATGCTGATGATGAGGATGCTGCTGCTGTTGGTTTGGATGTTCCAGATGATGCTGATGATGCTTACGGTGCTGCTGATGATAATGATGATGATGATGAGGATGCTGCTGATGCTGATGATGCTGATGATGATGATGCTAATGATGATGAGGATGATGCTCAGATGATGAGGATGCTGACGATGCTGCTGATGATGATGATGATGATGCTGATGATGAGGATGCTGATGATGCTGATGATGATGCTGATGATGATGCTGCTGATGATAATATTGCTGATGCTGATGATGCTGATGCTGATGATGCTGCTGAGGATGATGATGCTGCTGATGATGATGATGATACTCAGATGATGATGAGGATGATGATAATGCCGATGCTGCTGATGATGATGATGCTGCTGATGATGATGATGATGATGCTGATTCTGTTTATGAGGATGCTGATGATGCTGACGATGGTGCTGCTGATGATGATGCTGATGATGCTGATGAGGAT